TATCATCAACAACATGTTGCTGCAACAGCAGAAGCAGAAGCAGAGGCGGCGGCAGCAACAATGCTCGCAGATAGCATCAGCAAAGCTTTGCGCACCACCCACTGCAGCCTCGATGACACCGTACAAGTTAAGGATGTTGGCTGGTTCCTGTTCCTTGTTAGGCAACAGTGTAAGCACTGCAACTAGCTCCACTCAACTGTTCAAAGTTTTTTATGTGCCCAACCTGAAAACTAATAACAATAATGCGCAACGTTCATTGAAAAGTGTCTTGTGGCACTCAGCGTTTGATGGCAAACATTTAGCCAGCTTATAAATATTATTTAGCACAAACATTGGCCAACTTGTTGTGCTGGCAGTTTATGCTTAATGAACCGAAAATTCTATCTAACTCTGCAACTGCTGCTGCTGCTGCTGCTGCCGCAAGTTCGCTTGACCAGCAAATCAGAAAATTCTTATCTGTGGCCAACGAGCCACCAAGTGTGAAAGTTAACAGTTGGCTTCAGCACTTTCGCCTTCACTTGATCAGTTAACACTTTAAAGCGCAAAACTTTTGCCGGCCAAATTAAAGTCAAAATGAGCTGCCATAAATTATGCAGCATTTTCTGCCATCATTTTGGTGGCAAGAAAAATGGCTAACAAATGATTGACATGTGCGGCATTTGCAACAACATTTGAACTGTTGCCAGTTGCCAGCTGGCTGTTGGCTGCTGGCAAAGTTAATGCCAGAGCAACGCCCACCCGCAGCGGAAACGCAGCAGCAGCGGAAGTTGCGCTCGTGTGTGTGTCCGTGTGGCTAGAAAAACTTTGGCAAAGTGAAAAACTTGCTGTCAGCATTAGATAAGCGCTTCAAGTTAATAGACTTGTAAAACACACGCTCCACAACACACGCTGACCCCGGACTGGGCTCGACTCGACTTGGTTGCAGCCGAAAGCTGGATTTTTATTTATTTGTTTGTCGTTTGGCATGTGGCGCGTGTCCCAGCCCCGCTGCGGATCACATAAAAAATAGTGAAATAAATAAAAATGTTATACACGCCCCTGCAAAGGGGCAAGGGCGAGGGCGAGGGCAACCCTTAGCCAGTCGCTTATCGGGTCAGAACTAACAATTTAAGTTGTCAACTTGATATGAGCAAGAACAACAACATCAGATACATTTGCCGATTGCCCCTGTCTATAGCTCGTCCAGCGAAACTTTTCTGTTTAACTAGTCTCTCGGTTAATTTGGACATCTGCCCCGACCTCTGGGGTCTCGCTTTGTTTGCCGAAACTCGGCGTCGTCTTGGTCAAAGTTTAGCTCATCAACAAATGACCGCACAACGCGTGTGTTGCATGTGCCTGTGTGCGTGTGCCAATTTGGTTTCAGCTTGATTGACAGGCCACTTCCCTATGGAGACTGGAGACTGGAGTCTGGAGTATGTGTGCGCTGGCTGCTTATCGCCCAACTTTCAAAGTCAATTTCAATTAATCAATTGTCAAGCATTTTGACAGCCGAATTTATAGCTCACTAAACCAGCAGCCCCCGTGCAATTTGGCCCTAACTTTGTGCGATTAGTTCAACTTGTTACAGGCGCCGACTCTTTCAGTTTATAGAATAATTAACTTGCCTAAGAGCACAACATCGTTCAGATGAAAGCACGTTGATTCCAACTGATTGAATTCCCTGCAGACTGCATGTAACAATATGGCTGTCTGTTAAGATATAAATATAACTTGATATCAATATCTTAAAGATATAACTATACCTTAACGTTTTTCACACGTATACCAAATTTATTTTTAATAAAAAGTACTCGACTAGTAAGTACCCGTACAGCTATTGCACGCTTCTAGCGTGCACACACCCATAGACAGACTTGCATGTTGCTGCTGATCTCAGGTATCTTTAGTTAATGGCATCTGCTTTGTCTTCCACCTATTCCTGTCTGTTGCACACAAGTCGCATTTTGAATGAGCTAAAAATATAAAAAAGTTAATTTCATTAAATTATTATGCTTACCTTTGCATTACTCAAAATGCTTCACTCTTTAACAAAATTAAACTTCGATTTGCCCTACATTTAAGTCACAACTTTTCGTTTCAATAGAACACTTTTTATTTACAATTGGCGTGACCAGCAATCAAGACTTTTTAACAATTTCATTTCTCGGTAATTTTCCGTTTCACCATCTTTAGACTTGTATTATACCAATAAATATAATTATGTGTTTTCAATGCACAAATTCTCCTGAAGTTTTTTGGGTTGTTTATCAAAGCCAACTTTGTTTTTAGTGTAATATTTAATATAATATATTAAAATAATATTGCGATGCGTTTGAATGCACAATTTTAAGGTTAAATTAAAATTTGTGTAGAGCAAAACTTTGAACTTTTTTATTTAAAAATTATTTTTTTTCCAAAACAAATTTTTTTTTCTTTAATTTAAAAAATAAGTTTTTAATTATACAAATTTTAAGTATTATTTGCAATTTTTTTTTAAATATATAAACTTAAATTTTGATTTAAAAAAAGAAATAATTCCATAAATAACCTAAAATAATAGTATATATAATGAAAAATAAATAATATAAAATTTTTAAGTGTTTCAAGTTCTTTCGATTTAATCCAAACTTAGGTTTAGCTTTTTTAAGTTATGGCTAACAGAGAACTTTCTAATTAAACTGGTTTGGCTAAGAATTACTTTGCGCCTTGATTTGTACAAGCCTTTTAAATATTTATATTTGATATATAGATGTATAAATATATAGTTGTATAGATATATAGATATACATGACAGGTGAGTCCTGCCAAGTGCTGAGACAAACAGCAAACGTAGTGAATGCCAAGTGCAAGCTTAACACTTCAAATGTAATGTATTTGTTAACAAAAAAAGGCGTAGCGCAAACACACACACAGATAATAGTGCGCAACACCCATAGACTGTGTGTGTGTGTGTCGATTGTTGCTACCATACTGCTGACTGTTGACAATGCCCTGTCATCAGTCTCTCACTTAGTCAGTCAGTCAGTTGGAAGTCTCAGTGTCAGGCAGTCGGTCTGCGTGTTTATGTGCCGTTATTTACAATAGCGCATTTTTTACACATATTTTTTTCAAAGTCAACAACATGATTTTTCGCAGTCTGCGCTGCGACGTGTGCATAAAAGTCAAGCACCCCGCCCAGCCACCCACACAACAACAACAACAATAAGAACAACGCACAACTGCGAAACAACATTTACATTTTAAGTAGTTTTTAAATCGCTGCAGACAAACGTCAGCGTGTTGACAATTTATCATGCGCCCTGGCATGGCGTTACGTGATTCAGTCTGAGATTCAGACTCTCTTTTTGATTGATAGCTCTTGCTTAAAGCCAATAGAGACGCATGCGAGTCGCACCTCGAGATGTGCGCGCTTCACTTTTTTTTTTTATTTTTTTATTATTTTTAATTAATTTATGGAAGCTTATTGATTAATGCATGCGTTTGCACTGGCCAAGTGACCACACGCACACACAGTGGCTGCACTGGCTGCAACGGCCACAAACAACACGAAGCTGAAGTGTGTCGCTTGCAACTGACTGCAGCAGTTCCGAGGCGCCACTTAAAAGTAGAATACTCAATTAGCTGCAGTCTCTGCGGCGTCTGTGCTGACTCTGACGCTGCTGCTGCTGCGGCTCGTTAAGTTGATCAATGCCTTGCGCCAAGTGTCAACATGCAGTCCACTGAATGGCTACACTGGCCAAAAATTTTTTTAAATTCAAATTAATATTGAACTAAGGTTGAGATACAAAAATATCTAATGAGCTACAAGACTGATATATGCCCCAAACCTTAAGCTCAACTTGCGAGCAACCTGTGCGAGAAATCAACTGCTACCTGCTCTTGATCTTCCTAAGGTGATCCATTATCATCACGGCATCATCACTGAACTTGTCCTGGACATCCTTGCAGTGGGTTAGATTTACTTATAGACCATATTCTAGACTGCTGTCCAGGCTTAGCATGAATCAGGCTGCTAGATTTGCAGTGCTACGCCTCATTTCCTTCTCAGCTTAAATATTTATACATTTCTATTAGATAGTATAGATTTCTTATTATATGTTAATTATTTCTCTCAGTGTATGCGTGTGTAAATGAGCTACTTGCATTGCTCACTTTTGAAGCCTGTGCATTAATTATACACTGCATTTTATTGGCATCGAGCAAATGGCCGACGCGTAGCTCCTTTGAGCCTTATCTCACGCAAACACAAGCCTCGAGAGTTAAAGTCGCAAGAACGTGAAAATCGAATTGAATTTTTATTTTGCCAAGAAACTTTGCAGACAACTCGAATGCCGGACATGCCTAATTTGAATGCTCTTTGGCTTTGGGAGTGAAAGTTTTTCCCTTTTCACCGCAGGTGGCCCCAAAAAGTTGCATTTGCTTAAATTTATGAAGTGGAGCGCGTCTGATTTCAATTGTCCATTGGTCGATTGCCGGCCATGGGAGCGGCATCGACATCGGATCAGCAATCGAGTTTTCTCGCTTTCCCCCACCCGGTCTCTGGCCACTTGAAGCGCATTTTCTGCGCCATTTCAATTCTGTGTGTTTTCTTTCCCCTCTATTTCTGTCTGCTCTGTCTCTTTTCTTGCCTTTTGCTTCTCGCTTGGCAGTCGGCATGTTTGATAAATTGTCTGGAAATTACAAATGGACAAGAGGCCAATAGCTTTTAGGCAAACGCCTTTTGCGCTGGGGGAGGCGAGGGCGACGACGCTGACTGGACGAACCAAAACATTTATGGTAATTTCGAATAAATGTGTGGCTGCAGAGGGGCACATTTGTGTAGCAGATTTTAAGGCGCTTCCTGTCTATTTACGCTGATTTATGGCGGGGCGCCATTGTTGACTCTTAATGGCAAATGTCGACAAATTTGTTTTAATGGTCAATGTAATGAATGTTCTGCCTGAATTTTGATTTATATAAGATCCGAGCGACCGTTGACTAAAGCAAGCTTACATGCCTTTGCAATACCTATCAAGGCATCAGTATTGTTATTTTACTTGCCTTGTGCTGTGTGCTAGGCTGTAGGTTTAGAACAGTTTGTCATTTGGTTTCGCAGCCTCCACACCCAAAATTAAATTCTCAAAATGCCAAATGTTCGCAAGTGTAATGAATGTGGTCAAACACACGCTGCCGGTGCCAATGGGTAAGTAACGATTGTGCATCCGTGAATTATGGTACACACACACGCATCTATATATATATGTATATGTATGTAGCACCGTCTATTGTACCGGGCCGCTGCTGCGTTCGGTGCAAATGTCCAATTTGTATAAAGAAAGCAAATACTTTGTCGACATGAGTTGTCGATATTCTCCAGAGCGTATCCTTGCCGACTACCAACTGTTTAGCTCCTGCAAGAAGAACGAGTCATCGGTTAAGCATCTTACAAATTTCGTGGACAATCATTTCGATCAGCCTGGCACCGAGCTGGATTATTGGTGTCCGCCAGACTACCGTTGCGAGCCAAAATTCATCGAGAAAATCAACGATCCCGCTTTGAAGAAGTTTGGCTCGGACTTGAATCGCATTTGGAAACAGCTGGGACGCAGTATGAAGGATTGTGTTAGGACAAGTCCTGCCATGTACTCGCTATTGTATGTGCCGAACCCGTTCATTGTGCCAAGCGGTCGGTTTATTGAGTTCTATTACTGGGACACCTATTGGATTGTGCGAGGTCTGCTATACAGCGGAATGTTTCAGACGGCACGTGGCATGATTGAAAATCTGCTGTATCTTGTCAAACAATTCCAAATGGTGCCCGGCAGCAATCGTGTCTATTATTGGGGTCGTTCGCAGCCCCCATTGCTAATACCCATGGTCAAGGCCTATGTGGAGCTTACCAGGGATGAGCAATTCGCTATTCAGAACCTTCCCGCGCTCGAAGCGGAGATGGAAACATTTTTAAACGACCACTCAGTACAGGTTGAGGGCCGTACCATGTATCAGTATCGCGATAAGTCGACGGGCCCGCGGCCCGAGGCGTATCGTGAGGACGAGGCGATTGGCTCTTGTTTCAGTTGCCCGGAAGAAAAGGAAGAAGTCTACGGGCACATAAAGGCTGCCTGCGAGTCGGGACAGGCCTTTAGCTCTCGCTGGATTGTTTCATCGAGTGGCAACAATGTGGGAACCATGGCCAACATCAAGGCCGGCTGGATAGTGCCAGTCGAGCTTAATTGCATTCTATTTCGCAATTGCAAAACGCTTGCGGAGTTCTATACCCAGGCGGGAGACGAGGAAAAGGCGAAACAACATCGGGCCACAGCCTGCAAGCTGATCAAGGCCATTACTGCAGTACTGTGGAACGAAGAGCGTGGCGTCTGGCTGGACTATGATCTCAAGAATAGAAAGCCGCGTGACTTTTTTACAGTTACGAACCTTTCGCCGCTCTGGCTACACGCATATCCCATAGCAGATGCCGAGAAAATCTCAAGGTCCGTTTTGTGTTATATTGAGGAGAATAAGCTGGACGGCTTTCCGGGCGGCGTTCCGCACACATTGAGCAACACTGGCCAATTGTGGGACTATCCGCATGTATTCCCACCGATGATGCTAATGCTGATCGATGGCCTCAACAATCTGGGCACACCCGAGGCCACCGCTATGTCGAAGCGCTGGACAGAACGTTGGGTGAACTCCAACTACGAGGCCTACACTAAGACGAATTTCATGTATGAAAAGGTAAGTTTACCGTTGCGTCGATAGATCTGTCTCTTTCTTATCAACTTACTCGGCTATTGCAGTACAATTGCGAGGAATCCGGTTCAGGCGTTGGCAGCCCGGATGGTCAGAACCATACGGGCTATGGATGGACAAACGGAGTGCTCATCGAACTGCTGGTCAGGTACGGCTGTGAGCTGAAGGCTGGCGGTGGCGAAAACGAAAATGATAATGACTGCGGCTGCGGCAATGACAATGCGACTGCTGCTCTGCAAGATTGCCCCATAACTAGCGAGGCGTACTTGGAAAGGAAGGCGGCTGCAGATGCCGATGCGTATGCAAAGATGTGTGACGAGGCGAACGACCAATATATGAATTCGATAGCGTGCTGTGGTGCGGCAATGATGGGTCAAGATACCATGAGTTTTGCTACAAGCGAACCTGGCCGGGCTCAGGGTGTAGGAAACAATTACCAAAATTTCCAAAATCCCTACGATCAAAGGGCTGGACAACAGCCTAAGCCATTTTTCGAAGATCCCGGCTGTGCATGTGGAGAAGATTTCCAAGACACCAATCCTGCTCAGTATGCTCCAAATCAAACCGGTCGAGGTGTTCAGCAATATTCTCCTGATCAGCCCTGTAATGAATGTCAACAGGCTGTTCAAGGTGGTCAATATGGTTCATCTCGTCGAGCTAGTGCTCAGAATAATAATGGTCAGGGTGGTCAAGGTGCTCAAGGTGGACAAGATGGTCAAGGTGGACAAGGGGCTTCTGATCAACCGTGTACAGAATGTTATGAAATCGCTCAGAATGGTCAATATAATTCATCTAATGGAAATGCTCAAGGCGCTCTGTACGGTTGTCCTCAAGGTCAAGGTGGGCAAGGAGGTCAAGGTGGTCAGGGAAGTCAAGGCGCTGATCAATCATGTGCAGAATATCAGCAAACCGCTCAAAATGGTCAATATACTTCATCTAATGGTATTGGTGGTCAGTACGGTTGTCGTCAAGGTGGTCGAGGTAGTGATGCTGGTCAAGGTGGTCCAGGTCAGGGTATTCAGCAATTTTCTGCTGGTCCACCATGTGCTCAAAAAGCTCAGAATGATCAGAATAATTGTCCAGGTGGTCGAGGTAGTCAAAGTAGTAGAGGTGGTCAAGGTGGTCAAGCTGGTCAGGGTGGTCAAGGATGTAAAGCAGCTCAGAATAATTGTGGTCAAGCTGGGCAAGGTGGTTATGGTCAATCTGGTCAAGGTGCTCAGAATAATTGTCCTCCAGGTGCGCAAGGTGCTCAGCAACAATCTGCTGATCTACCCTGTTCAAAATGCAAGCAAGCTGCTCAAAGGGCTCAAGGAGCTCAGAATTACTGCCCTCCAGGTGCTCAAGGAGCTCAAGGTGCCCAGCAACAATTTGGTGATCTGCCCTGTTCAAAATGCCAGCAAGCTGCTCAAAGGGCTCAATCTGCTCAAGGAGCTCAGAATAAGTGTCCTCCAGGTGCTCAAGGTGGTCAGCAACAATTTGGTGATCTGCCCTGTTCAAAATGTCAACAAGCTGCTCAGGCTGCTCAGAATAATTGTCCTCAAGGAGGCTCTCCAGGAGGTCAGCAACAATCTTCTGACATACCCTGTTCAAAATGTCAGCCAACTACTAAACCTGCTGAGCCTGCTCAGTCTGCTCGAGCTATACGAATTGCTCAAGGTGGTCTAGGTGGTCCAGCTCCTCCATGTGGTCCGACTCCTTGCAACGGCCAGCCCCAGCAGCCACAGCAGCTACAGCAGCCGGCGCAGCAACAACAGCAATACCAATCAGGTCAGGAGTGTCAGCATTGTCAGCAATACATGCAACTCCAGCAGCCTCAGGAGAAACCTGCAGGGGAACTGCAGGAGATATGTTCATATTGTCAAGCTTGCAAGGATAAAGCACTCGAAGATCAACCCGCAAATGTGATGGAGCCACAGCCGATTATGATTGAAATGAACGAAGTAAATTGTCTATTAGAATTGAGTCCATCCGAACAGGAGGAAATCAAGGCCATGTGTCCATGCGCCTCAAGAGAACTCAAAGATGATGAAGACAATTCAGATTGTGGAGATGACGAAGATTGTATGTGTGCTGCATCACAGCCCAATCCCGTTACAGCGAATAAACTGTTTCCACTTGCCGATGATTCTCCCTGCCCATGGCCAGCAAAAGAAGAGCCTGAAGAGGATTTGGGCTGTGCATGTGACAGGGAAGCCCGTGCGAAGAAGGAGGCATCAGAGTAGCAGAGTATAGCAGAAATTGAAACATTTGACAGCATTATTATTTTATACAAATATTTAATACAAAATTAACAGTTATAATGCATGCAAAATAAACAATAAAAAGCACAGAAGGTAACATTAAATTAGATAATTTCTTCCTTTGCTCTGAGTCATGTCAATCTTTATGTTCATGTCAATATCTTTATGACTAATACACACAGACACACACACGTCCATATGTGAGACATCTTGTGGCGCTTGGCCAAGGACACATTTGCTGAAAAGCGAAAGTCTCGTTTGACACAATTGCCGAACACCACCCCCAACACGAGGAGTGTGTGCGTCCCTGTCAGCTGTGGGAGTGAGCTCATGCTCATGATATTTGCGAACAAATCGTTTATGTGCCACCCCCTCCGCCCACGCGAAAACACGCGTGCCACATTACAACATTTGCTGGCTGTATGAGTTTCCGCCACCGCCTCGCCCGCTTGCGCTGATGCGATTGTAGTGCTCTGATATTATTGAAATGCCATTTTGATTGGCTTTGATGTCTGGGCAAAAGTAACGATTTCATGTTGCTAAATGTTTTATGGCCCAACACACTGGTCGATGCTCTGATGTGATTAAGCGATAAGTAGTCAGCCATGAAACATGTGGCAATGGTTCCTGCTCCTGCTCCTGCTCCGGCTTCTGCTCCCTTCTCATATTGCCAATGTCAATGCCAAAATGTAGCTATGCAACTGCAGCCAGCCAGCCAGCTGCATATGCACACTTAGTTGGCTCTTTTTGTTGTTGTTTAAATATATAAATTTCATACATTGGCGCTAATTTGATTGCATTTTCCAATCGAGCAACACAGCGCATGAAAATGTAAGCCTTTATGCCAGTGCGCTTCTTATCCAATTATATGCACACTCTGTCTCTCTCTCTCTCTGTCTATCCATCTCTCTGTGTCTCTCTACTGGCTATTTGTCAGCGAGTGTGTCAACAGCGCCAGGAGTCGTCATGAAATCGAAACCGTAACCCAAGCCACGTAACCAAGAACCCAAACCGAAATGAAGATGTGGGCAGCAGCAGCTGAAAAGTAACCGCAGTCGAAATGATAAACGTACAAACTGCGCACTTGATGATGAAGAATGTGCACATCATTTCATGAACGGCATGACTGCATATGGCACTCTGAGAGAAGCACAAGCTCAAGCACACACACACCCACACACACACAGATACATTCAGTAGCGCACACTGCAGGGAGGCAGAAAACTTAAGTCTAAAATAGCTACAATTTCAGATTTATGCCAAATATTGTTTGATGACCAAAAATATATATTAAATAAATAAAGTGGAGATTGTACTAATTTACATTAAGAAAAAATATATATAAAAAAACTTGTAAATTTTAAAATATTTATATTATTTAAAAAAAAAATAAATACAAAATAATTATATAAATAAATGTAATAAACCTTAAAAATTTTATATAATTTATTAATATTAAGACTGCTTATTTTTCATTATAAAATATACATATCTTTTTTACAATTTAATCTATGTAATCTATATATTTTTAATATATAATATATATATTCTTTTAGTTTGTTTACTATTAAATTAACTGTAATACAAGTATTCATAATTTTTTTTTACTTAATTTAAAATATAAATATTTAATTTGTAAGATATTTTTCTATAATTGTTTTGTGTTTTAATTAGGTAAAAATGGTTTATGCATCGTAAGTCAGATTATAACTCCCTTGATTAACGATTAAAAAGTTTTTCTGTCTAGGACTGTCTCCCACCTTGGATGTAGTTCTTATCCCTTCTTTGTGCTCTAATTGAGCAATGTTGAAATTTTTCCTCCACAAAACCTTTCTGGCTAAGACACAGACTGTTTTTTAATCATCTTTGTTGTCGTATATTTGATTCAGCTTTTTCGTTCTTCTAGCCACTTTTAGAACGATATATACCTTTTTATATATGACCATTTTATATATCTAAATAATTGAACAAAAAAATTTAAGCTCAACTGAAAGTGAAATGAAAATGATTTACCTTAAGCTACGCCTCTGCATGAAAAGAAGATAGAAATGTGAAATGATAGAAATGCTGTAGCTCATCAGTGTAGCGTCGCCATTGGTTGGTCCTGTCAACGGATATTCGCAGTGGATTATGCATAGTTTTAAAGCACCGCAGCTTTGGCAGTGTTGAACACAAGGCAAACTAACGAGCTGCGCGGAGGAGGCGGTGTCTTTGGACTTGGCTGCGTTTCTAATTAGTGAAGTGCTGGGATCATTTGCATCTTATTGACTAAATTAAGTGGCTCAGTGGAAAAGTTGTGCGACTCAAGAAACTGAAAGCAAATGAATTGAAATGAAATACGCTTTTTGCTAAAATAAATACGTTTGGCGTAGCTTGGCAGCAAAATTGAGAATTGAAAATTGAAAATTTGCATTCACATTTGCCAGTCAGAAGCAGCTTCAAGATATTTCAATTACATGCAGTGCCACATAGACATAGACAACAGTCAGCCAAACCGAGAGACATATAAATAAAATCAAGACAATAGCAAAGGCAACAACTGCAACGAATCTGTCACATGTCAAACTTTGCTATATTTAATTTCCTCTTTGCGAAATTAGTTTTCAGCAAATTTTTCAGCACATTTTTCGTGCTGCTTTCGAACACACACACACACACACGAATGTGAATACATTTATATCACTTCTTTTTCGTATATACTTTTTTTTGCATGTTATTTCGTTTGGGCGCGCAGCTGCAATAATTCATGTTCAGAAACTACAAATTGAGTCATAAACAACTTTTGATTTCGCATATACGGTATGCCGTCTGTCCAACTTTAGCCCCAGCCCTATTCGGTTTCGATGCAAACGAGCCACATTTTTTGCTGCATACTTTGCGGGGTGTTGCCTGGTTGCCCGGGCCTTGACTCATGTTTGGGCCGGAAGTATAACTCGTATTTTGTGTGCCTTTTTAGTTAACCTTTTTAAGCAATGCCAGTGTGCGTGTGTGTGTCTGTGTGTGTGTGTGACTGCACTCATTAAAATCAAAAGCATATAAAAACCGCTTATTTCATAATTTAGCAGCCGCAATTTTAGTTGTGGTTAAGTGTGCACGCAAATAAAATTAAAATAAGTTTAGTTTATTTTTTTTTGTTCCGTTTTACTTTATTTTTATGCGAAATAACTTTTAAAATCGTTTAAAAAGGTATGCAAACAATGTAATGCCTGTTGGCTGCCTGACTGGTGGCTGGCTGACTGGCTGGCCAGCTGTCTGGCTTACTTATGTATTTTATGCTCTATGATTTATTTCGAAATACTCTTTTTCGGGCAGCCAGACACACGAAACCAGGAACCAGGGACAGGCCCAGTTGGGGCAGCTCACCCAAAAAGCTTGCCGCTTAATTTCATTAAACATTTATGAAATAAAGGCACAAGCTGCTGGCGTATTAAAATTTGATAGTCTGCGGTGGTCGCCCTGGCCACTCTCTCACTCTGTGTGGGTGGTTGTATATGCTGGCTACTACGTATGCGTCATTGTTAATGTTGTGCTGTGGTTTAACCAATTTTTACACTCTAAAGAGAGTCCCTAAGACAGATCTGCGCTAGCTTAACTACTGCAATGTCTTTTGCTTCGTCAATATGTCTGTCTGGCCAGAGTATTTAAGAGTCGCTTATATGCTTGATTAAGTCATTTGTATGCAGTGCAGAGTATCTATAATTCTTCATGGCAGTGCTTAACGTGTGCTTGCCTTTATTTTGTTTGTTTGTCGCTGTTTCTTGGCTTTTTATTGTCTTTTGCAGTTTCAGCTGCGTGCACTTTATTTGATGGACTTGTTTATGAGCAATTTCCATTTCCATTTGTTGGCTGCACCTTGCGAATGGCAATTTTTGTGTGATTTTTATTAATGTTTATTGCGCGCGAGCGTTTAATTTGTCCAGCAGGCAGCGGATGTCGATGTCCTGGCTTGCAATGGAATTGCAACTTGAGTTCTGAAAGGACATGGCCAGCCGGCTGGAAATGCAATTTTGCAAATGCGTAACGCGTATTGCCAAGTGCGTGGTGATTGAGTTAAGTCGCTGGCTGGCAAGCCAAGGAGCACGCATTTTTTGGCCAAATTGCATTTTTAATATCATTTGCCGGAGCAGCGCGAGAGGCAGGTGGCGGGTGGCAGGTGGCAGGTGGCAAGTGCTGGGCGTTGGGTTTTGTCATTGTGCATAATGAATGTGCCGCTTGCAAACAATTATTTTTATATGAATTGCAACGTTAACCGTTGCGTTCGTAACTCAGATCAACGGACGGGCGGCGGCTGTGGCAGACAGAAAGCTGCCGCCATTTTGTGCTGTCACTAACGGTAACGGTAACGGTAACGGCAACAGTAAAGGAAATGGTAAAGGCAACGTTAACTGTTGCCGGCAAATGAAAAGTGCGCGCATATTACATACTTCAGCGAACTTACAAGACATTTTGGCATTCTGCAATATTCATAACTGCCAGCGCAGTGAATAAGTAAGCTCGCTCCTCCAATTCACCTGCGATTCGCATTCAGTTCTGAGTACCTGCGGCCATTAAGAACAGCACTACAAAACTTATATTTATTGCCTTGCATTAGGCAACGCAGTTATCTTAAATCAAACTGCATAACAATGATAACAAATTGTGGGCCACTAAAGATGTGAGAGATTTAAGATACGGCTTTAGCCTGGTGGAAATATGTGGTAATTGAGCGGGGAAAATATTTGCAATATTTGTTATTCTCATTAAATTATTATAAAAATCTAACAGAAAAGGTGGTTTGAAATTGTCTTTAACTTTAAACTCTATACAGCTTTTTGAGTGTATTTCAAACTGTGTTTCATCGTAAGACCATAATTAATTAAAGATGGAAGAGCTATAGATGGGCTTTGGGCTAGCTGAAAGAGAAAGATATCAACTTTGTCTAAGGCAGTTACTTTTTAGAAACATAGAATAGTGCACATTAATTATTAAATATATTTTCTATATCTTTTACTACAAACTGGACTGGAAGTAGCATCTGCACTCTCTTGGAGTTAAAATCTGCCTGACTATAAATTTAAAATTTAAATAAAAATAAAAAATA